GTCTTGAAATCCACAAAAGAGAAATGACATCTTACTTATAGGGGAAAAGTAATTCAAATGACAGACTTTCACATCAGAAATCATGCAGGCCAGGAGAAAATGGCATATTTTTCAAATACTGGAAGAAAAGAACTGTCAAACCACAATTGTATACCCAGCAAAAATATTCTTTCAGGAATGAAGGGGAAATCAAGACATTTTCAGATGAAGGAAAAATAAGAGAGTTTGTCATTAGCAGATATACCTTAAAAGAATAGCTAAAGGAAGTTCTCTAAACAAAATGAAATAGTAAAAGAAGGAATTTTAATATATCAAGAAAGAACAAAGAACATGGTAAGAAAAATATGGGTAAATGGAATATACTTTGCTTCTTCTCTTGAATTACTTTTGAAGCAAAAATATTTAACATTGTCTGATAGTTGTAAATGTTTGCTGAGAAAATATATAAAGCAATTATATTATAAATGAGGAAGGATAAAGGAAAGTAAAGAGAATTAAGGATTCCACAGTATACTTGAACTAGTAAAATGAAGACAGCAGTGGGCTGTGGTAAGTTATGTACATATAATGTAATACCAGTAGCAGCCACCAAAAAGCTGTACAGAAGTACACTCAGAAAATACTAGATAAATTAAAATGGAATTCTAATAAAAAGTTCAAATAACTCACAGGAATTTAGAAAAAATAAAACCACAAAAAATAAAATGCAGACATAAGCCCTAACTCATTAGTAATGACATTAAATGTAAATTATCCATATATCAATTAGATTGATAGAAAGTTAAATAATTATTTGACTATATATTATCTACAAGAAACTCACTTCATTTATGACAGTTTAAACAGGCTGAAAGTAAAGAGATGGGAAAAGATACATCATGCAAACATTAATCAAAAGAAAGCAAGAGTGGCTATGTTAATATTAAGTAGACTTGGTACTAAAAAAAAAAATTACCAGACAGGGGCATGATGTTATGATAAAAGGGTCAGTCCTTCAAGAAGACATAACAATATAAACGTGTATGCACCAAAGAACAGAGATGCAAAAATATGTAAATTAATAACTAATATAACTGGAAGAAGAAATAGACATTCACAATTGTAGTTGGAAATTTGAACACTTCTCACTCAACAATTGATAGAACTAGACAGAAAATCAGCAAGAATATAGTCTGATGTTTAACAAAACTTGTATAGGATTTGTATGCTCCAAGCTATGCAATACTAGTGAAAGAAATCAGAGAAGATATAAATAAATGTAATGATATCATGTTCATTGATTGGAAGATCAACATAGTAAAGATATCAAGTCTCTCCAAAATGATATGCATATTTAACACAATTCTGTTAGAATCCTAGCAAGACTTTTTTTTCCTCTAGCAAGATATTTTGTAAGTAAAAGTAAGTTTATCCTAAAACTCATGTGGAAAGGCAAAGAACCTGAATACAAGAAAATGATTTATAAAAAGAATAGAATAAGAGTAATCAGTTTGCCTGATTTCAATGCTTACTTTATAGCTACAGTTATTAAACCTGTGGTATTTATAAAGGGATAGACTTAGATCTAGGGAACCCACATATAGACCCATACAAATATTCCCAATTGATATTTTACAAAGGTGCAAAAGCAATTTAATAGAGGAAAGATAGTCTTTTCAGCAAATGGTTTTTGGAGTAATTGAATGTTTATAAGCAAAACAATAAGTTAACCTTGACCGAAATCTGTGCTTTATCCAAGAACAAACTAAAAATGAATAAATTTAGAACACCACTTTTTGAACTGTTAGCAAAAAATCATGCGGACAAATCTTTAGGATCTTGGGCTAGGCAATGATTATAAAAAAAAAACACTGATTAGTTGGACTTCATCAAAAGTTTTTAAAAGTTTGCTCTGCAAAGACCTTATGAAGAGGAGGAAAAGATGAGCGACAGGAAGGGAGAAAATATTTGTCAAGCACATATCTGATAAAGACTAGTATTTCAAATATATAAAGAACTCAAATTTTAAAAAAAGAGACAATCTAGTTAGAAAATTGGTAAGAGATATGAAGAGACATTCCACTGAAGATGATATACAAATGGCAAATAAGCATATGAAAATAATCTTAACATCCATTGATTAGCCATTAGAAATAATGCACAGTAAAACCAAAATGAGATACCATTACACACCTAAATAAATGTAATGATATTATGATAAATAGTTACGAGATCAGCTACTGGTATGGCTGCAGAGAAACTGGATCATTCAGACATTGTCGATGGGATGTAAAATGACAGTCACTCTGTTAAACAGTTTGGCAGCTTCTCATAAAAACTAAGTATTCAGATGCCATGCCGCCCAGCAGTTGCATTCCAAGGCATTTATCACAAAGAAATAAAAATTTATGTTTATACCCAAACTTGTATCCAAGACTAGAAACAACTCAGATGCTGTTCAGTGGTTGAGTGGTGAAACAGTGATATATTCATATTATGAAATAAGAAGCAATGAACTCTATTGTTTTCCATAGCAACCTGGATGAATCTCAAAAGAATTATGCTGATTGAAAAACGCAAATCCCAGAAGATTTTATTTCACTTATATACTGTATTATTTCACTTATGTAATAAACTTTTGAAATGCCAAAAGTTTAGAAGTAAGGAATAGATTAGTGGTTGTCAGTAGTTAAAAAAGGAATGGAGGGGAAGGAAGTCGGTGTGGTTGTAAAATGGCAATATGAGGATGGTGATGGAAATCTCCTGTCCTGATTGTATCTAGTCAGCACCCTATCTGTGATACTGTACTGTAATTTTACAAGATACTACCTTTGGGAGAAATTAAATAACAGGTGCAGGGATCTCTATTATTTATTTCTTACTACTTCATGTTACTCTAAAGTTATTTCAAAATAAAAAACTAATTTAAAGAAAAATGAGTAAAGTGAAAGGTATCTTTTTGTGAAGTTACTGAGACTGAGGTAGAAATGTATCTTGTCTTTGAATACCAAAATAAATTTTGGATTTAATCTTTAGATAATAAGGAACTGAAAGAAATTTTGATTATGCTGTACACCACAAAGTAAATAAATAGTTAGTCACAGTAGATAACATAAATTGTTTTACATATATACTTATGGATTATGAAAGTATTTCACAAGTAACACAAAATATCTTAATGTTTGGAAATTTTTAAAAAGTAAAACCTTAAAAATAGAATTGTGTTGATAATATATTAGTAGTTTAAAAAGTAATAGCATTATGAAATTACTTGAAATAGTCTATTCAGTGAATAGAGGTTAAATTCTAAAACTGATATTATTACGGGAAGTACAACTTCGGCAGATATTGATAGATATTTTTTTTGTAGGTATAGGTTAAAACCTTGGTGTTGTTTGTCAGTACATTGTTTGGATCTCTGATTATGCTTCCACATTGGAGCGACTTTATAAATGATAGCTATATTTCTAAGTCATAGATCTGCCTGAGAATCTGAAGAAAGTTTTGTACCATCTCTTCAAATAAATGGATCATCCACCTCATTTTTCATACATTAGAGTTTACATACCATCAGAGACATATCTTTGAAATCCAGGTTTAAGAAGCCCTATCAGAAGAAAAGTTCCAGAGTATCTGTGTATCATTAATTTCAGTGTGATAGGTGATCAGCCCAAAACAACTGCCTAATGAGCATCTGTTTGCTTGCACAGTACCTATAGCAGCCACCACAAGGGACTCAGAAAGCATTTTTAAAATATCCCATATTGCAAGAGGTTTATGAGATCTAGTTTAAGAAGGAAACTATATTTATGAAATGATTATTAGAAGTGTAAGAATGAGAATAGGGTAGTTTCTGCTTTTGTTAATTACCTTAAGACATTTTCACAACCTATGTAACATTGCCTTTTTTAAAAATTAATTTTTAAAATTTTTCTTCCATTACAGTTGACATACAATATTACATTAGTTTCAGGTGTACGACATAGTCATTAGACATTTATATAACTTATGAAGTGGTTACTCTGATACCATTGCCTGTTTTGGATACGGGAGTCTGAGAGAGAGAATTCTTTATAAATAAATATGAAGAAAGTAACAAAGTGAGATGGGAAAACTAGAGACTATCTGGATTCATTTAAAAACAAATTCAGGCCGGGCCACTGGCTCAGTGGGTGAGCCAGGAGGTCATGGTTTGATAACCAGTCAGGGCACATGCCCAGATTGTAGCTCAATCCCCAATTGGGGGCACCCAGGAGGCAGCCAATCAATAATTCTCTCTCATCATTGATGTTTCTATCTCTCTCTCCCTTTTTCTCTGAAATCAATAAAAATATATTAAATAAAAACAAATTTAGACTTTATGCTGAACTATTGGAATAATGCAGTGAAAACATAGACATAGTTTCTTCCCTCATGAAGTTTACAGTTTTAAGAGGAATAAATTTTTCAGAAATAGAATGAAAAATAACTCATTCTGGGCTGGAGTGTGCAAAAAAAAAAAAAAAGATTTATGATGTAGGTTGCATAGAGTTTACTTGCTAAAAAGTTTTTTTGACCTTGAACAAGTTTCCTAACCTTCTTGAGCCTTATGGGGCTCATCTGTACAGTGGGCATCATAATGAATAATATATTAAGGTTTGGGGTTCAGAGCCTGGCAGTAGTACTGACTACTATTATTATTGGTCTGAATGGCACTAATGAATGACTAGATCAGGATACTCAAAAAAGAAGAAGCAGAATGTTAGGGGATGAAGCCCAATAGTAAGAAAGTAAGATGGACATTTCCTTACATTTAAGGCAGTCTACTTGCCTGTCTACTATAAAAAATTGTATTGGGAGGTAATAATATGTGTAATTGCAAGCAAAGATAATATCTTTACAAGAAAGTTTTACTGTTCTACTATTTTGTTGATTAGCCTCAAGTAGTTTTTGTTATTGTTTGTTAACATGACAGTTTTTATATGGGGCAGTCTTGTAATATAAAAACTTTGCTTACCAACTCTTATTCATTACTTTTTCAGAGATTGGAAATGCTTATGCTATTTTAAGCAATCCAGAAAAACGAAAACAGTATGACCTCACAGGCAATGAAGAACAAGCGTGTAATCCACAAAATAATGGTAGATTTAATTTCCATAGAGGTTGTGAAGCTGATATAACTCCAGAAGACTTGTTTAATATATTTTTTGGTGGTGGATTTCCTTCAGGTATTTTAATGTTAATTATAAGTATTATATTTTATGAAGCTAGAGATTTTTACTTCCAGATAGGCTATTTAGTGATTTAGCTACCTTCTTTCCTGTATTTCTTACAGCATTATTATCCTGTGATGGTTTCTTATGAAAGTAGAAGAAAAATGTTATACTCATTACTTTTACTATAAGTCTGCCTTTTTCATAGAACATATTTTAATTAAAAAAATAAAGAAATGAAGAGTACCAATATTCTGTATTTTACATAAAGCTTAAGAAAGGATATATATATAAGTAGGAAATTCAGTGATAATGTCTTAGTTAAGTGCTATTATGGTTATGGATGACTATTTAACATTGATTCTCTGGAAAGCTTTGTATATATTTTATTAATGTTATAGATTGCTAATTTTGATATATGTGGAAGTGCTTTCCATTGAAATATTAAAATGTCTGATTTATAGGTTATATAAAAAGTGAGTCGGTTTTAAAAATTATATTGGAATAGAAATAATTACTTAAACTAGGCTATCAAAGTAAAATATTATAGAGTACTACTAAATGAATAGATTTTATAATACTAGTATAAGTATTATTATGCTAGTTTATATTTACTGTGAGTTGTATGGAAATTAATTTTCTTTAAGAGCAGCTTCTCTAAGGTGTTTATAATTAAACCTCCAGTCTTTTTTACAACATTTCCTTAAGGTTCTCAGTTAAACATCCCATTCAAAATTCAGAGAACTTTTATAAACACAGCGATATAATTTGATCTGGTGGCTCTGTCTGAATTTTTCTGAGAAAGATGGTAATCATAGATAGGACATCTTATAAAGAATCCTTGAAGGACAGAGAATGTGTAAATACAAATTAATGACTACAAATATAACCTATATTTTTAAACATTAGGATATATAATTACATCTCAGAAAAAATATTCAGAATAATAATTCTGACTAAAAATATGCTAGGAACAATTAGATATCTTTCAGGTAGTAGTGAATTTTCTGATAGTATTTTCACAGTTCTTTTGCCTTTGTACCATAGCTTGTTTTGTCAGTTGTAGCCATGTCTGGTTGGTCACCTTATTTGAAAACAACTTGAATATCCATCAGAAGGAGAATATTTGAATAAATTGTGGCTTACCTCTACCATAGTGTATTCTACAGCTATTTTTAAAAAAATAATTTTTGATTTTTAGATATATTTGTGATTAGTTGATAAATGCAGAATGCAGGGTTTCAGAGTAGTGACCAAGGTTCATAAAAGCAACCAACCACAAAAAATGTTCTCTGTGTATGCATATTAGGGAGGAACTTATATTCAAGTTTTCATAAGGAGAGAATTCTACTTTACTTGAAAGGAAGCAAAGTCTGGGAAGAATCATTGCTGTTTCCTTTCACCCTTCACTCACAAATGAAGAAGGCAATTAAGCATTCACTGCTCAAACATGTATTATTTTAGTAATTTTTAAAAATTAAAATATGAATAAAACAAAGTATTTTCTTTGTAAAAGAAAATATAATTTTTTAAAATCATAATTGTCCTCCCTAATTTAACCTTGCTTTTAATTTTCTCTAGGTAGTGTACATTCATTTTCAAATGGGCGAGCTGGTTATAGCCATCAACATCAGCATCGGCATAGTGGACATGAAAGAGAAGAAGAAAGAGGCGATGTATGTTTATGATATGAGTAGAAATTATAAAATGGCAAATTTCAGCTCAGGAAAAGCAATTAGAGTTGTCTGAAAATAGAGCAAGTTTTTCTAAAAGGAAGTAGTGAGTTTTCTCTTACCAGAGTTGTTCAATAGACACAAGAATATTCCTTAGAGATATTAGGGGAGCAGGAGGGTGGTTGGGCAATATGAAACCTTTACATTTGGTATTCTATGATTCTAATGAAGGTAACCTGCAGTGTGCATATTTTGAAGGTTACTTTTTTAAAAATATATTTTTATTGATTTCAGAGAGGAAGGAAGAGGGAGAGAGAGAGAGAAACATCAATGATGACAGAGAATCATTAATCGGCTGCCTCCTGCATGCCCCCTACTGGGGATCGAGCCCTCACCCGAGCATGTGCCCTTGACCAGAATCAAACCCGGGACCTTCCAGTCCCGCAGTCCAACGCTCTATCCACTGTGCCAAACCAGCTACGGCTTGAAGGTTACTTTTCATTGTTAGTCCTAAAGAATTTAGAATTTATACTGAAAAACTTAAATTGGATGTAACAGTTATACCTTATTGCATACAACAATTAAATCACATGAAGTGGAAAGAGCACTAGACTAGAAATTAAAAGGCCTAGGCCCCTACTCTGCCATTCAAGCTTCCAATGCTCTACCTTCAAATCCAGAGTAGAAATGCAACCTGTTGCCTATTGATAAGAGTCTGTGGGTGCGAGAGAAAGAAGTTCTCATCTGTAAAGTAAGATCAGGTTGTTTCAGTGTTTTCCAAATCAGGATCCCTAGGTGAAGCACCTGGAAAGCTAAGTTTTTAAGAATCACCTCAGGAAGTTATGTTCAGGCAGATTTGAAAGCACTGAACCAGATGATCTTAAATGGCCCTTCTGCCTATAAAAATGCATGACAACTGTTGGATTATTGACAGCTACAGTTATATTATAATTTGTTATTCTTTGATTATTTTTTACAGGGAGGCTTTTCTGTGTTTATCCAGCTGATGCCCATTATTGTATTGATTCTTGTGTCATTATTAAGCCAACTGATGGTCACTAATCCTCCTTATTCCTTATATCCCAGATCGTAAGTAGCTAAGTGAAGTTTTGTAAAAAAGAATTTTTGTTTTTATCTGGCTTTCATTAAAAGGCCTTGTGATTTTTTTTTAAAATTTTTAAGTGCCAAATCTTCTATTACTACAAGTATACCAGGTTTTTAAATGTCCAGTGTTTAAAATAGTTAAGTGATAAATTTATATATGTTGTTAGTTTACATCTGTTCCATTGTGGATAAGGACAGTGCTATATTTGAACTTGTTAGCAATTTCATGTAATAAGTAATGACATTAAAGGCAAAAGTACTTTAAAAGACAAAAATAGAATTGTCATAATCTTACATAGGTTTGTGTTTATTAAGGAGGAAATGATTTCAGTCTTCTGTTTGTTAAATATTAAGTAAAAACATATTTGTTATCTGAAATATTTTTTCATAATGTGCTTGATATATGAGGTCCATACATAAAAGCAACTTAATGCAGCATCTACTCTAGAAAACTTTAGTGTAATACAATGAACATATAGGAAGCTCTGTAAAATCCTACTGCCAGTGATTTTACAGTATTAAAAACATTGGTCTAAAAACAAGAAATAAATTTATATTTCTTCCAAATAAAATTTTTATTAACTAAAAATTGAGAGAACTTATAAGAACATAGTATATTAAAATATGATTACTTTTTTATTACATGATGGTAATAGTTGTGAATTTGAGATAATGTAAATAAGTGATTACCAATAATTTTAATTCTTTTTAATTATTTTTGTTAGCTTGGTTTATAGTAGCAGATCAACATGTACAATTTTAATTAAAAATAATGATCAAGCATTTCTTTTACAGTGGATCAGGGCAAACTATTAAAATGCAGACAGAAAACTTAGGTGTCGTTTATTATGTCAACAAGGACTTTAAAAATGAATATAAAGGAATGTTATTACAAAAAGTAGAAAAGAGTGTGGAAGAAGATTATGTGACTAATATTCGAGATAATTGCTGGAAAGAAAGACAACAGAGTAAGTTGATCAAATGTTTAACCTTTAACTTATTCAAAGTCTTGGGAAGTGATTACTGCAGATTTTCTTAAAGAATGTTCTAGAATTGCCTAGTATATAATCAGAACTCAATTCTTAAATGAGACAGTATGTTTTAACGTACCTGTGGCCTGTAACAATTCAGCATATAACAAGGACTTAAGTGGTATTTGTGTTACCTTTGTCATCAATAAATATTTGGTTGAATAAGTGAATAATATCATCATTTGGACAATTGTTGAAATTGAATGTGGACTATGTATTAGGTCAGCGGTTCTCAACCTGTGGGTCGAGACCCCTTTGATGGTCGAATGACCCTTTCACAGGGGTCGCCTAAGGCCATCCTGCATATCAGATATTTACATTACGATTCATAACAGTAGCAACATGACAGTTATGAAGTAGCAAAGAAAATAATTTTATGGTTGGGTCACAACATGAGGAAGTGTATTTAAAGGGCCAGAAGGTTGAGTACCACTGTAGGTGGTATGATATCATTATTAACTTTCTGAATTTGAAAATTGTATTATGGTTATGTGAGAGAGTGCAATTGTTCTTAAGAAAAATATGCTAAAGTAATTAGGAATGATAGGTCATGATGTCTGTAACTTATTCTCAAATGGTTCTATAAAGTATTAATAACCACCACAACAGTCACAAGTTTTTATTGTAGAAACAGTAAAAGCAAAATTGACAAAATGTGAGGTTTGAAATTTTCAAAATAAATTCCAATAAATTCAGTACATCTATCTATATGTTAGTGATTTTGAATAAAGATGGAAGTGGGAGGGGCTCAGTATAACATTTATTAACCCATTGATTGAATGTTTTATTAGTTAAGTAAAATGAGATTATCTTCTTTTTAACTTAATACAATCAAAGAGATTTTTGGCCAATGAATATTCTTTCAGTGTTTTTCTGTTTTGGAGTCACTTCTAACACTCTCTAATGCTTAAATTGGTAAAATAGGTGTTTTATGAAATACAATAAATAATTTGAGGTAATGGAAAGAATATTAGACTAGGATTGGGAGATTTGGATTGGAATCCAGGTTCTGCCATTCACTAGCCCTCTGAACTTTGAGTTAACTACCTCATTTGGAAAGAATCAGCTGCAAATGGATTTTCTAAGTGCCTCATTTGTAAATATATTAGTTGTTAAATTCAAGCCTGAATGATTGAATAAAGATCATTCCTGAAGATATTTAAAAATAGAAAACACTCTTACTTTGAGTATACTGTTTGTGGTCCTGGCTGATGTCCTCTACTTTGGTCACTGTTTCCCCCTTTTTTTTTGTTACATCTTCTCTAAGTACTGCCACCCTTTCGAAGTGGTACCAAACAGTGAAATGGCTGAGAATAACAGGAAAACAAGGAAAACTCTGAAGAATGTTTGATACCTACTTCATTTATTTTTCTTTAGTAATGTATTCCACATACTGAAGGCAGCCTCAGAAGTACTTATTGCTGAATGTCACTACGATGATTGTAGAGGAAGCTTTTTTCTCCTTTGTGTTCCTTCAGTACAGTTATTGTATATATATTTTTTAAATTCAAGCAAACTCAGAACAGATTTCAAAATTTTCTACTTCCAAGTCTTGGAAATAATTAATGTGAAACCTTAATAAAAGGTCACAGCAAAAACAACCAGTAGCAGAATAGCATATGGATTCAAGATGCTGCTTTAGAGCAGTAGTTCTTAAACCATTGGGGACAGGAGTGGAGGGAAAAGGTTGACAGGACTCCATCTTTGTTTCTCTTCCAGAGCAGTTCTGTGTTTGTTTTACATGCTAGGTTTCCAAGTAGCTTTTAGGAGTAGCACTTGGACTTATTTAAAAAAAAAAAAGTCAATTAACAGAAGTACATTGAAAGGTTTCTATGAAACATCATTTGTGTTAAAAAAAAAAACAACTTAAATTATTATTTACTTAGCAAAATATTTTTGTTTATTAACAGAAGTAGATATGCAATATGCAGCAAAAGTGTATCGTGATGAACGACTTCGGAGGAAGGCAGATGCCTTGAGCATGGATAACTGCAAAGAACTGGAGCGGCTGACCAGTATTTATAAAGGAGGATGAACTGGAATTTTATTTATATCTTTTAGCATACTATTTATTTTTTCTGTGAGTTTAGTTTCATCATGAGAGCTAAAGAAAAAGATTTGTTGTTAAAAACTAAACTGAATAGTTGGTCCCTGAAATTTTGGACTGTTTATGACCTACTGACTCCTTTAAATAGTAATAAACTGAAAACTAAAATCAATATTTTAGTTATGCTTCTGTAATTATTTTCACTTTAAAAGCTTTTATGGTGACTAACAAAAATGTCTCAAGAAAGGATTATCACACCTGTAGCAGTTTTCAGTTTTAGTGATTCTCCATTTTTCCCCTTGTTATGTAAATATTTATGAAATGATCATTTTGTGTACATATAAGTTATTGCCTTTTTATTTAAATTCTTTGTGTTTAGCTCCATGAGAAACTTCAGTTTAAATTGATGGAATAAATGTTCTGTGACAAAATTACATGTTACTTGTCAGATGTTGAATGTGTAGAGTTTAAACACTGAAACTTTTTCAAAAAGAAAAGGAAAAACAAAAGATGTTTAAATTAATTTTGTGTAAAATCTTGTAGCATTATTAGCTATTTTAATATTGCCATTATATTCCAAAATATATATTGAGATAAATGAACTGGTGTAGAGTATCAATTTGCTGTTTATTTAGTTTTATGAATTGCTAAGCCATGCATAGAAATGAAATGCTATACTGATAGATTTTAAAGAAAATATGAGGAAATGGCTATATAGATATTAAACAAAATGGGTCTTCAACAGTAAATTGCATTTATGTCATTTGCAATTCCAATTATTAAAATACCCCCTAATGTTCATATACAGGGGAGGGCAAAAGTAGGTTTATGGTTTTAATATAAATAAATAATACATAATTAATGAATAATAACATAAGAATAAACTTTTGTGTACTCACAACTATAAACCTACTTTTGCCCACCCTTGTATATGTCTTTGAAAGCTGCTAAACTTTATGAAGAGAACCAACATGTTTCCTCCACCCTCATGGAAATTTGCAGTTTCTTCTTAGTGATAATTTAAGCAGAATCCAAAAGTAAATGGATTCTTCTACAAATAAATAATAGGAAAAACTACTACTTTGCTTTGTGCCTTTTAACCTGATTGCCAACTCTTAAATACATAAGTAGATTACAGCACACTTATTTGATCAGGGCATGATCTGTTTGGCCACATGCAACAGTGAGCAGAAATACAGCAGCAGATAGAATAATTTATAGCAAGTTATCCTTATAAAATTCTGAGGTAAAATCTATTCACCATTGAGAATTCAATTAATCCATTAGGAATAAGCTCCTTGTAGTTAAATCCATAATATAAATTTGAGAAATCAGATGGAAATTGAAGTTTTATTGCCTATATTGGGTATGAAACTAGTTGATTTCTAATCTATGTTTAACATAGTAATAATTTTGCTTCATTCTCAGTTAATGGAACATGAACACATCTTTGGTAATTTTTGTGTGTGTGAGAGAATGCTAACTAAAGTGGCAGTATTCCTTTGTTTAAAGATTTTTTTTCTGAATGTAGTCAATTTATAGCATCTGTTAAAACTTTTAAAATGACCATTCTTTAAAAAATGTTCTCTTGTATCCCCTTTTCAGATGAATCAATAGAAATACCTGATTGAATTAGTAGTTTAAACTAAACAATATATTGTCCTAGGAAAATTGGACAGCTTAACTTTCTTTTAGAAATGCCACCTTTAAAAAAAAATAGCAGTGCTTAAAAGAAATACAATTAATACTCTGGTTTCTCTTCAGATCGCATAAATCTTTCGCCTTTTAAAAGAAATACAATTTCAAATATTTTCTTGAGCCTGTACAATGAATTTTTTTAAAAGGCCACAGCATTCTAATTAACTTTGAAAGTTCATATGCATCAGAAAACTTATGAAGATTTTCATCCATTTATTTTTCCTTTTTTAAAAAAAATATTTTGATTTTTTTTTACAGAGAGGAAGGGAAAGGAATAGAGAGTTAGAAACAATCGATGAGAGAGAAACATCGATCAGCTGCCTCTTGCACAACCCCTACTGGGGATGTGCCAGCAACCAAGATACATGCCCTTGACCGGAATCGAACCTGGGACCCTTCAGTCTGCAGGCCAACGCTCTATCCACTGAGCCAAACCAGCTAGGCTATTTTTCCATTTTACTGGGATATTTACACGATTGTGGTAACAAGTCATACATGGCTTTTGGACAGTATTACATTTCAGTTTCTTTTCTACATTCTATTATATTTCATAAAATGTTCGGGGAAATGTGTTTGATAAAATTTTCGAACCGTGGGAAATGACTGAGTGCCTGACAGCATAAGCTACATATAAAATATGCAAATAAAGATTAAGTCCTTAATGTTACCTGTATCATGGTGTAAAGGCCCAGCCAAGTGTTAGAATTTTTGGTTAATTCTACAAAATAAGAAGACGTTAGCTATTTTAACACATTGCAGACGGATCATGAGAATTCTCGCTTCATATTACACAATGTTTTACAAAGTATCATACTTTAAAAAGATGTTAGCTTGTAAGAACATGTAATAAATAACTTCAAAATGCAATGGGTATTTAATTTTAAAGCATGCCTTTAACATTTATGTAAAACATTTTTTGTACTCGTTCAATAGGAACTTATCTGGTCACTGGGTAAAGCTAGCAATAAAACTACTGGTCCGCAATGTGTTAAGATGTAAGATTTTCATATTTTTTGCTACTTTTAAAAATCCAACATTTTGTCATCTTAGTTTTACCTACATGAGCCTTGCAATTTAATTTGAAAACTTGTACTGTTCATTTTAATCATTGCCTAATAGCCCTCTTTAAGTATTGCTTTACTAGCTTTTCTTACTGGTATTTTAGAAGTTTGGCAGCAAGTATATTTATTAATGATTTACATTTTTATCCTTCTTTACAACACACACATAAACATTATCCTTGTGAGGATGTGGGGGAAAGTAAATAATACCTTTTCTTCTATTTTTTTTTTATTCCTTAGTTCTCAATTAGACAGGTGCTAGACATTTGTACGTTTCAGAATTTATTTTAATGAAATGATAATTCTCAACAATGAGAAATTTCAAAGTATAATCCATCTAATAAATGAAAACAATAATTTTAGAAACAGATTGCATTTGAATGCTTAAATAAGTAGTTGTTTCATAATCATTACATGCTTGCTTATGATTTACAAAGATTTGGTAGAGAAAAGGTCCTTAAGGCATATATATGCCAAGGCATTAAGCCAGTCTGCCTTTGTATCAGCTCAGGTGTTCACATGAACAGGAATGTAAAATTCCAGCCCTTTACTTTAATTGCACTTTTATGCTTAAGTTTTCTTCCTGTTAACTCTTCAGTTACACTAGTATGTAAAGTAGTTACCAAGAAATATGATTAACATCTTGATTTCCTTTGTTGGTCTCCATTATTTTCAAGTGCAGCTGTTAATACCCTTGACATGTTAATATTACCTAATAATGGATTCCTACATATTCATTAAAAGTAAATTTCCCACTTTTTTTAAGGCAGTGAAATATTTTTTGATGTTGGCCTGAGGACCAAATTAGCCATTTTTTCCAGTTCGGTAAGTATTAAGTCAGAGGACTAAGTGGTTCAAAAGGAAAATTAGTGCGTTTATTTAGCTTCCCCATATGAAGCTTGGGTTTACTACTACCCATATAACTGTCTTTATACTAAGTGAAGCAAACTAAAATGGCATTCATAATCTTTTTTCTTATTAGAATAGAAAAACTTCCAAAAATGAACAATGAACCAGAATTTTAATCTTTCCTAAATAGCTAAAAAGGCTTGTCTTTTGGCCACAATGGATTACTGCCTAGTTAAAATCCATAAATTTTTCTATAAACCAGTGAAGAGGAGTCATCTGATAATAACTTCCCAAAATCTTTTAATTGTATTTTTTAATTACAAAGAAAAAGTGGGTAGAAGAGGATCTTCAAGGAATTCTTGCATATTTCTTTAATAATCTGGGAGGCAATACAGTCCTAGAATTCAGGTTTCCTTTTTGGTTTTATTACTATTTAAATAGGTACTTTCATATAAATGGAAACATTTTCCCTCAAACATCAATTCAAAACATACTCCTTATATTAAGGATTATGTAACCACATTTTTTTGTAAGTTCCCTGTAACTTTTTCCTGTGGTACGTGATTATTTTATTATCTGCTGGTTTGGGGGCCAATAGATTTGTGAATAGTCTGTGGATGTGTCCATGTATAGTTGTATATATTTTCCAGCTAATACCTCAAATGTGTGATTATTTTATACCACACTATGTTTGCACAGAGCAGAGCTTCCATTAGCCGTGGATATTCTTTGAAAGCAGTTCACAGAATTTCATTGGTGGGAATTCTTTCATTGGTGTAATATTTTTCATATTTTCAAGTTTCCTATTGTAAGGCCCATACTTCATATATAATTGTGTCTTCTATATCTAGCAATCTGGAAATATGTAGGTGGTAAGAAGTGTTTCTTGGAATGTCTTAGTTTAGTATGTTATTGAAAATTGGGATTACTGGTTGGTTGCCAAGCTGTCTAGTAACTGCATAACAGATGACGCCTGGCATGAATATGAACAAGTCTCCTTCACTTCAGCACAGGAATCGGGACTTTCCCATCTGAGAGTTGCCATTTAAAAGCACTTCTAAAATGATAGGCATTTTCCAGTGACATTGGAGTATGTTAAGCACCAATTTCAAAATGAATTGTTTTAGTTGGATAACTATGCCAATGAGAATAAACTCACATAAATGATATTTTATAATTTATTTGTATTAAGAAATGCTTCTTACCTATTTTTGTGTTTGTTTTGTTTTTGAATTGCTACATAAGACTTTCCATTTAAGTTTAAGTCATGTGTCTTTAAAAGCTGCAGGTAATTTTCAAGGTGTGGTAGGATTTTAATGGAAGCCTTGTATTAGTTAAATGAAGTGAAACTGGTAAAGGAAATCTTTGTCTATAGTGCACTCAAGATTATAAGATTAGATTTAAATGAAATGTCTGATTTGTAAAATATTTAATGTTATATCAGACTTAAATTTTTTTTGAGAACTCTGTTAAAGAATGAATTTTAATGAATGTTCTGAATGATTTGATTTTTTTCTTTCAGTCTCTGAAGTTTATCTCAGTATATGAATAAAAAGGTCTGTTCTCACTCTACAGCATTTGTTTTATCATGTTTTATATTCTTAATATGCCCTTTCTTTCAACCATTCAGTAAATGAATGAATGCCTAGTATCCCCAGGGAGGGAGCTGAGTGCTGGGAATTAATCACTGAACAGGACAAAAATCCTTATGAGGTCTATATCTAACAAGGAAGATAAATGTCAAGTAAATGACTATGATGAAAGCCACAGAAAAATTACGAGGTACAATGAGAGCATATATCTAGAAGACTTAACCTACTTTGGGAGGACCAGGAAAGATTTCTCTGACAAAGTGAGTTGAAGCTGAAACCTAAAAGATGAGAGCAGCAGTAAGGTGAACCCTAGAGAAATGTTTCAGGCAGAGTGTGGTAAGTTGATAAAGTCATAGGAACTTCACAGCAATGAAAACAAACTTATGGTTATGGCATAAGGAAGCCAGGGTAAGTTAGACAATTAAGATAGGAGTCAGATTCCATAGGACCATATATAAACCATAATGGTGATAACTGGGCTTTAAGGAGAAAACCTTTGTGATTTTTAAGGAAGGACTTAACATTATGAGATCTGAGTTTTTAAAATATCATTTTGGTTGCTGTGTGAAGACTGGAGGGCAAAAGTGAATGTAGGAAGGACAGGAAATTGTCAAAGGAGAGGTGATCATGGCTTGGACCAGAGTAGGAATATAAATAAGTAAATTATTTTGAGATATAAACAAGGCAGAACCAAAAGAATAATCAAATTGAGTTTGGGATAAATGGAGGCAGCAATTAAAAACTTCAAAAATTTGGCTATAAAAGTAGAGGAAAAGGGTGGTAGCTGGAAATGTGGTTTTATAAGGCCTTTTTTTCTTTTATTACATAAGACCTTAATATTTATTACATAGGAAAACTCACTAATTTTTTATTTTGATATAAAGGGCCAAGTAGAAAGTGAAAATGAATTTACTCTCAGGATAAGAGAAAAACGTAGAACCCCAAGGCAGGCTTGAATGCCATCATTTAAGTTAGGAGACTAGAGTAGGTGAGGGCATAAAATTAATGGAGCTGTGTCCCAGATGCTAAGGGTTTAAATAAGGGAAAGGAAATGATTTTCAATCAGGTCATTTGCTATGGAACTGCTAAATTCACTTATAATAATGAAAGTCATTTGTAACATATGTACCATTTTATCTTCTCAGGAATAATAGAAAATAAATATCCAATTCTTTTCATCATGTCTTGGGCTAGAGTTAATTCTTTTTGTACTCTTGCTAGGGATTGGAACTGAAGACCAGTCATAAACAAGTTCCCCTCGACTTCATTTTCCTTCTATCTACTGTAGGTTTTTGTAAAATGTGCAAACAAGCAAGGCTCCAAATAAAAAATAGCATTCCTTACAGGCACAGCCTTCTAATTCAAGAGCCTGTGAAAGAAGGTTGTCCAATGTCTGCATATTGAGGTGCACAGATAGATAACTGTGAGAACTCCATAAAGACCATGGCTCCTCAATTCACTTTAGACAAGGCCATGAGTTAAGAGCAGTGGGTGGTGTTAAGTCCGCACCAACAGGAGGCAGGCAAAGAGATCCTGTTAGAGTTTAAGAAATTTTATTACATTCTCTCACAGTGGGCTGAGACCAGTATATCCGTGTCAGCAAGCAAGAGTAGGGAGGGTGGGATATCTGTGTCTTGTGAAGGTCCCCAGGAACCAGATGCAGGTGCAGGAAGTCAGGTCTAAAGCCGATTTTCTCAGCCGGTCAGCTTTCTCTGTGACACCTGAAATAAGAATAACAGGAAAACCGCAGAGAGCAGGAGATCCAAGTGGGGTATAATGGAAAAGAACTGAGTGCAGGGGAATGATTCAGAATATGCCTAGCATTCTAACCTTTTATTTTCCTTCTGTGAACTGGGGCTGACGAGGGAGGTTGATCTCATTCTTCTGTAGCTTCTTCCTGCTCAGGTGGGGCGTAGAGCTGTCCCTACCTAGTTAGGGACTGAGGGAGGGGATGATATCTAGTGTAGGGCTGGAGAAGCATTATTTCCCCTATGGATCTTAGTGATAGCCTGGATGTAGTTTTGGAGGGAGGAAGAAATGGCTCTTAGGATGCATGAGCCAAAGATCAGTGCCAGAAAGAACATTAAGAGGGATCCAACTAAACGTAGAAGCCAAGAGGTCCAATTTAGATTCTGTGGCCAGGTGCCCCAGGATTCTGAAAGCTGTCAGAGTTTTTGTGGCCCTATCATCTAGTTTGTCCTTCCTGGCCCAGAGTAAGCGGTGAGAACCTTAAAGGACTGGTTATTAGGGGCAATGTCTATCTCAGGGGTGATAGACTAGGGTACAGGTCCCAGTCCAGTTGGCTGGGAGACAGAGATAGGTATTGGTACCACACAGTAACAAGATTCCTTGATTTTTTAAGCAGAAGGTTTTTTCGATGGTGAAGAGGTGAGTGAGCTTGTTGTTTTCATTTTCCCAAACAGAAAGAGTTCCAGCTAAGGTTGCCCCCGTAAGGAGCTGAAAAGGGCCTTCAGGATTGACCTGTGTAGCCCCTGTGGTGGTATTCTCAAAAAATATATATTTTCTGTCAGTGTCTACCCAAAATTTGGAGTGTGTGAGGCCATAGGAGGGGATTTGGCGGCAGTTAGAACGTAATTGTGATTTGCAATCCTGCCAGGGGAAGTAGTTAATGCAGGAAAGAGGTCGACCTGAACAGAACTGGGAAGTGTCAGTTGTTGGGAAGGTTGCTGAGATGGTAGGCCAGGCTGAGAATTGAACAGGTTTTGAGAAGTAGGCTGTTTGGGTAACTATATAACTTGCCCAACGCTTGAAAGAGGGCTGAATTTCAAGAGTAAAGTGGCATAGGCGTTGATCAAGATATCCTAAAACCTTTCCTGCAGGGTGTGTCCTGTTGATGCAGAGAGGGGCCTGAGATACTATGACGGTGTTGGTTGTTATTGGTCTTAAGATGGGGACTTTGTTGGAGGAGTGCTCAGTTATGTTGTTTAAGTATGACTGGAGTAACTGTACGGCCCTGCCTGTGAGTGTTCCTTTAGTCATTTCTGTGATTTTGAAGTTATAAATTTCATCGAGGTGCATGAGTTGGAATGGGAGTCCTCCATGTACCTTGTAGTGGAAGGATAGACTGGAGTCGGCCCATGTATGTAGGGAGGCTGGGATTGCCGTGTAGCTAGCTGAAAAGAGGGGAAAACAGGTTATAATGAGGAGGTGATGTGTTAGGTCTAGGGTTCTAGAGAGATAGTGAGGACTTAGGAGGTTTTTTAGAGGTATGGGGTAAATCTGTGTACAGAGTAAGGGGAGAAGGATTAGGGAGATCATTGTACAACCCTAAGTGTTAAGCGTAGTTCCAACCAGGTGACATAAGGTAATGGTACATCAGAAGATCAAGGATGATAAGGATGACCCACAGGAAGACCAGGCACTAGAAGAGGGGAGATCTTATAGTGTCTTGGTCAATCATGGGGCCAGGTTTAACCAGGTTGTAATCTGTTCCCAGGAATAGTCAAGAAAATCCTCTGGGAGGAACGTGTCCCACAGGAAAGACAAGAGGTACGATTCCGTGGGGGTGGGGAGTGGATGCTGAGAGGGAGAGGAACAGCTGCTATGAGGTGCAGAGAGTGAGGCAGGGACCAGTACAGACAGAGCAGTGAGGGGCAATGGGGGGAGCCTGGCTTTTAGGGGATTAGGTAAAGGTCCGGGACTTACAGTTCCTTGGGAATTTTTGTGAACTTGAGGCGAGCTGGTCCGAGGCTGACACTCCAATACAAACGGACTGGTGGAGCTGGGGGTGCAGGGGCTCACTTCAACCTGGAGGAGTGGAGTGAGGAAGGACAGCCCTGTAACTTGGCCGCCTTCGTGTGGTCAGAAGTACCTGGTGTGGGCCGGTCCACCTGGGCTTTAGGGTCCCCCGGCTGTTGGATGCTGGAAGCATGTCCAGTCTCCCAGTTCCAGTGGAGGATCCAGGGGGGAGTGAGTGGCAGGCGTAGAAGCACTGTGTTGGCATGTTGCCCAAGGAGGTGACCAGTGAGGTCGAGGGTGGAGAGAGAATCCCCACAAAGGGCTAGAGGTGGTGGGGACGTGTCCAAGTAGGAAGGGTCTGCAGTGCAGACGCTGGAAAGGGCTGGAGGCTGGGCTGTCTGGAACCAGTGAGATGGGGCTCAGTAAGAAGGCTGAGGGGGTGGAGGAAGGGGTGGAGTCCAGAGACAGAGGGGCAGTGGGAGGAGGGCTGGGGGGGTCAGAGGGGAAGGGAGGGCCTGAGGGGCCGGACAGCCGGGGAAGGACTGACCAGAAGCCTCAGGGTTGCTGGAAAGGGCCAGGGCCGGTGGAAGGGGGCTTTGAGTGCAGGAGGAGGATCTGGTGGGTGGAGTAAGTATGACAAGAGAGAAGGTTGATTACAGAGAGTCAAGAACTGGAAAACTTTACCAAAAACCCTTCATTTCAGTTACACTTACTGTCTTAAATCTATGAGATTTTTTAAAAAATATATATTTTATTGATTTTTTACAGAGAGGAAGGGAGAAGGAGAGAGAGTTAGAAATACCAATGAGAGAAACATCCATCAGCTGCCTCCTGCACACCCTCCACTGGGGATGTGCCCGCAGCCAAGGTACATGCCCTTGACTGGAATCGAACCTGGGACCCTTGAGTCCGCAGGCCGATGCTCAATCCACTGAGCCACACCGGTCAGGGCTCTATGAGATTTTAAAGCCAATGATTACCTAAGCCATTTTCCTGATACATTTCTGTAACAGGGGTAACATGACCGTGACAACCTTAAGGAGGCTGGAATAAAGGTGGGGGGTCAGGCCCGGGCCCGGAAGTGAACCCCAGCCCCGGGCCCGCGGGCGTTCCTGGGGCAAAGCCAGCAAAGCAGAAGGTCAAGTGCCTCTTACCGCAAACTGGAGCGGCCGGTGTGGTCAGGAGGAGCCGGGAGGAGCCCGCAGCCGGGGGTGGGGGTCCCTACGGGCTCCTGTGCATCCTGGGTTCCAGCACCAAACTGTGGGGTCCCTGCCGGCAAGGAGCCAGGCCGAGGCCTCGTGAGAGTTTAGGAAGTTTTATTGCATTCTCGCGCAGTGGGCTGGGCCCAGTGCGGCCGTGTCGGCAGCAACAGGAGGGAGGGGGGGCGCGGTTGAGCCGTGGCGGGTGCCGGCGGCTGCGGGGCGCCGGGTCTAGAGCTGCTTTTCTCAGCCGTCCCGCTGCCTCCTGCGGGACCTGCAATGAGAGTAACAGGGAAATCGCAGGGAGGGCGGGAGCCCCGAGCGGGGCACAGGGGGCCGGGACTGAGCGCAGGGGGAAGGTTCCGGTCACGGGAAAGCCAAGACTAGGACATCATGGGGCTTCTAATAACCGCAACCTGGTGCTTGCTGTGCACACCTTCACATTTCTCCAACGGAAGAAAAGGTTTTATGATACCGCATCCCGAAAACCGAATGGAAACCATACACTCTCTGCGCACCAAAAAAAAAAAATCTCTTCGCTAGACTTACGGTGGCAAAACACGCAGCGATCCGGTTCAAACTTGAACCGCTGGTATCCCAGCGGCCACGCGGCCTGGCGTCTGCGCAGGCGCGGGAGGCAGCAGCCCGCGGAGGGCCGGAGTTGCGGGGCGGGGCGGGGCGGGGCGCGACGCCAGCCCCGCGCGCACGGTGTCCGTTGACCCTCCCCGGAAATGCCGCGTCCCCGGGCGTCGGAGGCGTAGGGAGTGCTTCCTGGAGCACAGAGGAGGTCACAAGTCATGTGACGGCGGCTTGCGGAGGAACCTGTCTTGGAAGCTTGTCCCTGAGGCGGTGGACAGCCACGAACCTTGCTGCGCAAAGAGCCGGGTAACTGGGCCCCTTTGCCGGATGGTCAGGCCTGGGCCCGCGGGTGGCGCGGGCGCTGAGCTGGAAGAGGAGTGGACGGCCTTCCCCTTCGCTGGGGACTTCGATCCAGGGGGCTGGGGAGGTGGAGTGGGCTGAGGCATGTCGGTGTCCGGGAACTCTGGCTCCCTTCGGTGTCCGCCAGTCCTGGAGGCGCGGGTTCTTGCCGCTTGCTAGGGTCGCGGTGGGGCGCGAGGGAATCTTGACGGGAGAGTCACCAGGAGTTTGTTTTTCAGGCGTGGATCTTGAACCCGCGGGAGAAAGGGGTGCATCATGGCGGATGTGAGTTACCCCCCAGCACAGGAGGAGGGAGAGGGTGGAGAGTTTGGAGGAGACTCCTGGGCGGGGAGAGGGAGCACTTCCCCTGTAGAAATTTGTTTTGTTTGGCCCCGCCCCCGTAATTATGTTCTGTAGGCTCTGCAGTGAGCGGCTAATATGAATGGGTTTGCCGGGGTCCTGAGTGGGTCTTGGAATGGGGGTGGAGGACACCAGGGCGCCTGTTCGTACTCCCCAAATCCCGCGGGTATAAGAGGCTCTGAACATTGCCATTTGAGTTTCTAAATTGTGGTTTGCTGCTCGGAATCCTTTTTTTCAGCAGTGGTCATGGTGTCTTTCTAGGTTCCTTGTAGCGATTTTAGTTGATTTCCAACTGACGTCTCTTTAGCGCAGTAACACAAGTCAAATGCTAAGCTTAGGTAGCTTGTGCTAGTTACTAGAAACAGCGTGCATTAATACCCACACGCATGGTGATGCTTTACCTCCTGTTACTTTGCTTACGTACATGCTGGGTGTTCTAAGTATTGAACATATATTCATTTCTTATAACTTTTGCGCGGTAGGCACTGTCACCCCTGTGATGATAAGGTACAGAAAGGTCAAGTAACGGGCCTCAGGTTACACAGCTAGTACTTGTGGAGTCAAGATACCAACTCGGGCAGTTTCGCTCCAGAGTCCATGCTCTTAACCATTACACTAAATAGTCATTCAGCATTAATATGAGTCTGATTTCTTTTCAGATTGCAAGATTATGTGTTTCAATATTAAGCAACATTTACTGCCCTTATCTCTCCATTTTTGGGTGTCTTCCATTATATTTTTGAGACCTTATTAGTCAGGCATAATCAAATCACTTTCTATTGAGCATCTGCCTTGCAAAGCTTTCTGTCATAAGGGCTGGGGGTGAAATAATGAAGATTGAGGTATAATTCCTCTCCTTCAGAGTTTTACAACTTAAAAAAAATACTATGCAAGGGATCATAGATATGCATACATTACTGTGTGAAAACTTCAAGTGATTACCTCTGGTTTGTGTCTATCAGAATAGCCTGATTGGAGTATTTGGTGGTTGATATTAGCTCTAAATGATGAGTGGCAACTTTTTAAAAAGTAAGAGAGGGAGAATATTACTACTAGAATGAATAATCTAAGCAGACTTAGGGAGAGGTATGTATGGAAGAGCTGTGAATAGTCCAGTTTAGCTGGGGCTAAGGATATGTATGAGGGAGTGGTAGGAAGCAGGGCTGTAAACTTAGTCATAGGCCATGTTGTAGAGCAGCGGTTCTCAACCTGCGGGTCGCGACCCCTTTGGGGGTCGAACGACCCTTTCACAGGGGTCACCTAAGACCATCGGAAAACACATGTATAATTACATATTGTTTTTGTGATTCATCACTATGCTTTAATTATGTTCAGTTTGTAACAATGAAAATACATCCTGCATATCAGATATTTACATTACGATTCATAACAGTAGCAAAATTATCGTTATGAAGTGGCAACGAAAATAATTTTATGGTTGGGGGTCACCACAACATGAGGAAATGTATTAAAAGGTCGCGGCATTAGGAACGTTGAGAACCACTGTTGTAGAGTCTCAAATGTCTAAAGAATCGTCTATAATAATAAAAGCATAATATGCTAATTAGACCGGACTTCCTTCCTTCCGGACAAAGCCACAGTGGTTGGTGGGGGCGGAGGCAGAGGTGGCCACCGCAGGAGTTTCGTGCATTTGGCCTCTAGTTTGTACATAATTCAATGTACAGTTGAGAGCCTTTCAAAGATTGGTTCTGAACCTGGCTGCACAGGGAATCATCTGGGGAGCACCTCCAACCCCAGCATCAGAGTGTGTGTGTGTGTGTGTGTGTGTGTGTGTATTAATGCTCCTCATGTTATCCATAGCAAAGGTTGAAAATTACTGCAATTATGGCTTTAGAGAAGGAGGAAATATGACTCTTGGCACTGTGTAGACTGCATGGGATAGAAACATCAGATGGGTATACAAATTGGGAGGTTAGTGCAAGTCACAAATAGTAAAATGAAAGTAAACCATATGTCCATTGAAAAGGAGAAGAAATCGGTTTAAAAACATTGGACTTCACAGGTGATTTAAAATTGACAAATGTGAGGTTAGGGTTAACTATTACTCATAGTTTCAAACCTGAATAATGGGGTTGGTAGTGCCATTAGTGGGAACAAAGTGATTGTGAAATTTGGAATTTAGATGGCACCATGATAAGTAGAGATTTTCTTGTGTATGTTTAAAATGAGAGGAAAGGTAAACTGGTGGTGATAACATGAAATAAAATGAACATTAAGGTTTGGAGAATTGTAGGGTTTAGAGGTTCAAAACAACAGGTATCGTATTTATCTTTGTAGAGCTCTTAATTGATACCTGCTTGTCAATGAAATTCTCCAGATGAGAGAGTGTAATGAGACAAAGTAAAGTAGTTTTTTATTTCGTTTGTCGTAATTATGTCACATGCTAAACACTTGACATCATATATTTAGTCATGTGAGGAAATTAAATTTCAGAGAAATAAATGAATTTACCCAGGATTGTTAAAGTGATGTGTATACATGGAAAGATATTCATAATATATTCTCAAGTGAACACAACAATAGCACCAGGATTTGAAATAATATGAAAGTATGACGCAATTTTACAGCTAATATATATTTGTGTTTCCCATTTCCAGATATGCTAATCACTTTACATGCATCTTCTCAATAAACTTTAAAAACAATCTTAAGACCTAGGTTCTGCTATTGTCCCTACTCAACAAATAATGAAACTGAGGCTTAGAGAAAAAGGTTAACTTGCTTCAAGTCACACAACCAGTATCAAAATCAGAAAGGGAAAGAAAACACAAACAAGAAAGGTTAGGAATGATGACTGAAGGTCCCTGAAATGTGAATAGGACAGGATCTAGAGAATTAGTACAAGGCATGTTTTTACATGATTTGTTAATGTTCTCTTTCAGGACCTAAAGCGATTCCTGTATAAAAAGTTACCAAGGTAAAAAATTATTAATTTGTCATTAAATAAATTCTGCATAACGGTTAATTTTATGTAGCATTTTGTTTCTTGCTATTTTAGACTAAATATTGTGTGTATATAATGCTGTTGTTTAGCACTTTACCTAACATAGCCCTAGGTAGCATGAATAATATCCTTCGAATTTGCAGATAAATAACATGGGGCCTCGAGAGGTTACAAGAGTACATTTATTTCTCTGTAAAAAAACTTACCAGGAGTAGTTTGAACAGTGTTTGCCTACTTCTTTCCATATACCTTAAGACATATGAAAGCTATATGCTTAAGATAAGGAACAGGCAGCTTTTCTGTGCCATGGCAGATTGGCACGCTCCTAAGTCTGAGTCAGCTTTCAGCGTGTTGTCCAGTGTTGTGAAATATCTCCGCGAGTTCTTTAATAGGAAGCTTGTTTGCCAGTGTCATTTCCTCTGTCAGTTCCATTATCCTTTTCATCACAACCACTTTCTCATTTATGTCACTAAGTCCACCTTCACTAAGTTCTCTGGCTGTACATTTTGTGCAGAACAATGATAATGTCAACCTCTCAGCCAGCTATTTCTTTTCTAACTCCATTTAATTTCTATTCAAATTTCACTTCCAGTATTACCACTTTTCGTTTCTTTGCTATATTTCACCTTAATTGGCCTTATTTCAGTTATTTTTTTAAATATCACTGGACAATGAGATAATACTGCATGTTTTTGTTCTCTGCATAAATCAGACAGATGCTCAGTAATCAATCACCAACACTCTGAAAAAAGTGATGTGACTACTTATTGATCACAATGTGTGTCTGTTATATCAGTTATTTATATAGTAATGTGTGAACTAAAGAGATAGTGAAGTTAGTACTCTATATAATTATTCAGTTAATATATCATACTTACTGAAATTTGACCCATGCTGTTGAGGGGGAATGGTGTTATTTAATCTGGCAATTAAAATGTTTCTAAATTGGAACTTTACAAAAATGAGGGCTTTCTGTATTTGTATTTGCCTTCTTAAAAGTTTAGCATATTGAAAGGATGCTAAAATTGGTGATGGGCAGGGGAATATCACACTGATGACAAAATACAGAAATGGAGGCATAGCTGATATTTGTAAAAACATAATGAAAATCTTTTCATAATGGAAAGAAAATGATTAGTACAAAGTGGTGGTTTTTTTTTCATCATGACTGAGGCTAGTTTAATTCATATTCGTGACCATTTCTTCTTGATGATAGGTTTGCAACCCAAGAGCCAAAATAATGGAGAAATAATATCATTGAGCATTTATAAAGAAAAATATTAGAATACACACTGATTTGTTGCTAGATGTATGTAAGTTAAGGGTTTGGACACAGGCAGCCTAGCTTCAGAGCTGTGGGTCGTCCATGCTCTTAATTGTACTGCTATGCCTCTCAACGAAGTCAGTTTTTTGGTTTTTTTTAATTCTCTGTTAAATATAGTTCTTGTATTTGTATTTTTAAGTCTAGTTGTGACTCAAGCAGTCTCAGGCTTAAATAGTCACAACTTTGTGTTTTAAAATAACCAAATGTTTCATTACTGTATTAATAAAACTAAGTATGATATCTTTGATTACCAATGTAACATTTGCTTTTGGGGGGAGGGGGGATAAAAATGTTTTCGTGCTGGTGTTGCTCAGTCACGGGTCGATTCCCTGTCAGGGTACATGCCCAGGTTTCGGGCTGGATCCCCTGTAGGGGGTATGCAGGAGGCAGTGATTCTCTCTCATCAGTGATGTTTCTATCTCTCCCTTTCCCTTCTTTTCTGAAATCAATAAATACATGTTAAAAAATGTTTTAGTGCCAGGACCGGTTTGGCTCAGTGGATAGAGCGTCGGCCTGCGGACTGAGGGGTCCCAGATTCGGTTCTGGTCAAGGGCATGTACCTGGGTTGCGGGCACATCCCCAGTGGGGGGTGTGCAGGAGGCAGCTGATCGGTGTTTCTCTCTCATCGATGTTTCTAACTCTCTTTCTCTCTCCCTTCCTCTCTGTAAAGAAGCAATAAAATATATTTAAAAAAAAATGTTTTAGTAAGTGTAAGGTTTAGATTTCTACAGATTATTTCATACAATTTATTTCTTCTGAAAGTATAGTGTACCTATCAATGCATTATATATTTTTTCAATTATTAGTAAAAATCTATTCCGGTTATTCTTTGTTGACTGTGTGTAGAATGGAAAACACCTTTTATATTTGTGACCTGATTTCTTTTAAGTGGTTACTTTAAGTATGTGAGTAATTTTTCTACTTTTTTGGACAGTTATCTCGGTGAATTTGAAATTAAAAAGGAGATCTTTTTAATTTCTACCTCCTCTTTTGGTGCTTTAGTTGGCATTTAAGTTAATTACTACGAAAAGAAAAAAGGTAACTATGGTGACACAGATTTTTAAAACATTTTTGTAGTACTCTTTACCTGTTTTTTTAATTTGCTTATTTTTTGAGTAGGCAATGCATTCATAAAATTCAATATTCAAAAGTTAATTGAAGGGCATAGATAGAATGAGAAGTTTCCCATCACTGCCCTTCAGCCACATAGTTCCCCTCTCATAGGCACCCATTGTTACCTGCAGGCAAACATGTATATAAACATACATATTTGCATGTATACACAGAGGTCTCAGACTGCTATAATACAAAGTACCAGAGATTGGATATTTCTTTTTATTTTTATTGATTTCAGAGAGGGAGGGATAAAAACATCAATGATGAGTCAAAATCATAGATCGGCTGCCTCCTGCACACTCCTTTCTGGGGATTGAGCCAGCAATCGGGCATGTACCCTGACTGGGAATGGAACCATGACCTCCTGGTTCATAGATCTACATTCCGCCATCTGAGCCACACTGGCCAGGCTGGATATTTCTTACATGTAAAATGATCAAAATTTATTTCTCCTAGTTCTAGAGGCTGGAAGTCCCAAGATCAGGGCACCAGCATGCCTGGGTTCTGGTGAAGGCCCTCTTCGGGGTTGCAGATTGCAGACTTCTCATATTCTCAGACAGGGAAGGAGAACTAGCTAGCTTTCTTTCTAGCCTCTTATAAGGGCACTAAGTACATTCATGAGGGCTCCACCCTCATGGCCCAATGACCTCCCAAAGGCCCCACCTCCAAATACACATTGGGATTAGGGTTTCAACATATGAATTTGGAGGGTGACAAACATTTAATCTATTGTAATATACACATACAAATGCCTACATCGTGTTGTTGTATAAGTTGCTTCTTGTACACTATTCAAAACCATGTGCCTTTTCACTTAACATCTGTAAGTTTGAGATCAGTCCTTCCCAGTACATGAAGAGCTGCTGCTTTGTTTGCAGAGTATTCCATTGCATTTATGTGTCATAACTTACTTAACTTGTTCTTTTTGATGGTTAGTTAGGTTACCAGTCTTTTTCTATTTCAAGAGATGGTGCCGTTGGTAACTGCACAGAGTAGTGTGTGGGTGTCTCAAGTATCTGTAGGATATATTTTTCTGTAATCTAGTTTTTAACTTAGAAGAATATATTGTTTTATGTATTAATCACATAGGTTATGTTTCAATCAATAGATACTTTTAGGATTTAATGATAATAGAAAATAATAGTAAATATACACAATTTTTTCATCTTATTTTTAATGTGAGGCAGATAAATGGCTTTGTTTGTAACATTTTCTCAAATTGTAATAACACTTCTCTGACAAACATTTTTTGACAGTGGGATTTAAAAGCATAATTTCAGTAATATGAGTATAAGTTAATGTGAATATTATTCATTGCTTAGTTAAAATATTAAGGTTAACACAATAAGGACTGATAGTTCTAGGTTATATAGTAGGAACACTGAACATATTTCTGAGTTGCAACCTACATATGATATAGTTACAAGGCTCTAGATTTTACATAAATATTGAAAGTTTGAGAATGTTTCCTCATTATAATTTTTGACACTACTTTTATGCTCTAGCAATTCTTACTAATAATTTGATACTTAAACTGTAGTGATAAATTGTATCATTATCAGGGTGCACAGATGATACCCCGATATTAATAATAATTAGTATTTTAATGTAAACTATGTACCAACCTCTACATGTATTATTTTATTGAATTTTGCAATAGCCAAAAAGTACACTTATCCCCATTTTCAGATTGTTAACTGAGGCTTAGAGAGTTTTATAACTAGCCCATGGTAGCATAAATAGTAAGCAGGAGAACCTGGGTGCAACTCACCTTTTTAATTTCAGAGGTATAGTCTTGACCATTCTGCTTACTGCTCCTTATATAGACACTAGAGGCTCGGTGCATGAAGTTTGTGCACTCAGGGGGGTGGGGTCCCTTAGCTCGGCCTGCGCCCTCTCGCAGTCCGGGAGCCCTCAGGGGATGTGCGACTGATGGCTTCTGGCAGTGGGACATCCTTAGCGCTACCACAGAGGTGGGAGAGGCTTCTGCCACTGCTGCTGCGCTTGCCAGCCCTGAGCCTGGCTTCTGGCTGAGTGGCACTCCCCCTATGGGAGGGCACTGACCACCAGTGAGCAGCTCCTGTGTTGAGCGTCTGCCCCCTGATGGTCAGTGAGCGTCATAGCGACCTGTCGTTCCTCAGTTCAGTCGATTTGCATATTAGCCTTTTATTATATAGGATGGCTGAAAGGATTGCTGCATAACCTACATTCTTCCCATCCAGTTTCTTCAGCTTTGGATGATCTTTGTGCCCTTTTCTTAATCAGTGCCTTAACACCTAACCTGAGCTTTCACTTCCTCAGGGAAGCTTTCCTTGACCCACCTGGGCCTTCCCTCCCCTCTCCCCTGCGTTATAGGCTCTCATATCCCCACATATCACTTAATTGGCACTTGCCACAATTGTAGCTTTATATTTGTTAGTGCGAGATTATTTGATGGATAGTTACTCTCCTTTTAGATTGTAATTTTGTGAAGACAGTGACTTTATTTTTGCTTAGCACGGTATTATAAATATTCAGTGCCACAAATATTGGGCACTGTTATTAGAATGAATGAAAGAAAAAGTTTGTCTTTGCCATTGTATCCACTGCTAATAACCTGTCATACTTCAGTAAACCACAGAATAATTAGCAATTTTAATGGAAAATCAACTATGTTTTAGCTCTTCATCAATAAACTATAAATTGTAAAGATATATTGTCAGTGATACACATTCGTTCAATTTCTGGAAGAGTTTTAGTAAACAGGAGTTTATGCTGTCAAGAATTGAGTTTCCATGATTTTTCAGAAATACACATGAAAATTATCATTATGACTTTGAGGTACACATTTTCAGAAAGTGAAATGTTATATATTTTTCCTTTCTAGTGTTGAAGGGCTTCATGCTATTGTTGTGTCAGACAGAGACGGGGTGCCTGTTATTAAAGGTAAAACTGAGAACTTAACATGCCAGTGTTGCATTTGCTTTAGAATAAAGATGTACTTACATCTGAGTAGCACAGAAGCAAGCATATGAAACCCATTTCAGAAAATTTAGGAGAAGGTCTTTGGGGGGAAATGTTTGCTTTTGTATGTTGAAGGCTGTGTTGAAACTTAAACTTATTACATATTAAAAGTATCATGTTGCCATTCAGAGTTTAAGCATGGATTTAATCACAGGCCCAGTTTCCCATTAATGACATATTATGGTATAATATAAACTAAGCATGTCAAACTTGGGGCCCACAACGAATATTTTTGCAGCCCAGCCAATATAATGGTATGTAAGAAAGGTTTTAATAAAAATTTTGTAACTTAATTTTTACAATATCCTGTTATACATAATTATTAATAACGAACTGCAACGTTCACTAATCACTGATTACTATAATCGTGTTGCATTCATTTCTCTTATGCGCCTTACACGAAGGTGCACCATTTCTCTCCATTAATATTAGCAGAGAATATTTTAGCAGCCGATGGCCACATCGTTAGGCTTGTACTGACTTGTTTGGTGTACGCAACAGGAAATATTTTGCTTTCGGAGAACAAGGAAAATCGGTTTATTTGCATTAGACTTATTAATTTGTGCAGTTATTCAGTATCTGATAAGTTAATGTTCAAGAAAAAATATTAATTTTTATTAAAATGTTCTATTATTTTATGTTAATGATTACTCATTTACTTCAGCCCTTTGTATTCAGTATGTCTCTATCAAAATAAACCTACGTTTCTATGAAAATTGAAGTTTTTGTTTTTTTGCGGCCCACATAAACTTAAACCTTGTTTATTTGGTCTGTGTTAGCCTTTGAGTTTGACGTGCTTGATATAAACCATTAGTAAATCTAAGTGATGAGGCTGGGCATGTATGCAGCTAGATATATTATACATAAAGTCTCCTCTACCCCCCCAGCCCCATATATATTTTTATCAGTAGTTTTAGGATAAACATCCATATATTTGAATCAACATACTATTGGTTGTTTTTGTTTAATCTTTCTTGATTCTGTACTTTTTTACTGGAAGTAAGATTAAAAAAAAAACTTTTTATGTTTTACAAAACTTTTAGTTAACCAGAATCTAACAAGAGTTTTTTACCTAAAGAAGAGCTTGCTAACCTAAAAAAAGAACTTTTTACCTAATTTAAGCCTTTTTTTTTTTATTGTATATGATGTCACAGTCAGTATATATTAAGAACATTTTACTACTCTCTCTGGTATCATCAATGGATGTGTATAGTTATACTAGGACATTGTAATAGTGTTACCAAAGAAAGAGTAAATAATGCTCTACACATTTTATTGCCAATTTATTTTCTACCTGGGTTTATCATACATGTCAGGTAATTTTAGACTTGAGTTAAAGGAAGTTTAGAAATTATTTTGTTTTATAAATAAAGATTGTCAAGTGCAAAGAGTACATTGTTATTCCTAAGTTGCAATGTGAGTCAGTGACAAAATAATATTAGAACCCATCATTTCCTGATGTGTGGTTGGTCCAGTGTGCTTTCTAACTTACCATAAAACATTGGTGGCTATGGGCAAGTCACTTGTCTTTTCTTAGTTCTGTAATGAAGGCTTTAAACAAAATAATGTCAGATTTGCCAGCTCTAATGTTCTTTTCTGAGGTTCTCTATGTTAAAACCTTATGCTTGCACAACTAATTCCATGACTTAATGAGTGAAGGAAAAAGTTGGCCAGCTGCAGAATTATTAATACCGATAAGCAATACTACTATAGGTTTTATGAGAGCAAAGTTTTCTGAAACTTTTTAAACAATTCTAGCTTGGCCATCAGTTAACGAGAATATTCAGTTTATTAAATGTACTGATTGCTCTGTCTGGGTACTTCAGTTGTTTAGAACGGCTTCCCGATACACCAACATTGTGGATTTGATCTACAGTCAGGTCACATATAAGAAGCAACCAATGAATGCATAAATAAGTGGGACAACAGATTGCTGTACCTCTCTCTCTTCCCCTCCTTCCAAAATCAGTCACTCAATAAAATATATAAATGTACTGATTAATCTGTGTTTTAAGGTAGGTAGATATTAAAGAAATATAAACATTTAATATTCTTTTTAAACATAAAAAAATATTGTGAGAATCATCATTTTTTCCCTTAGTTTTGATCGCTCACTCAACATCTCAGCAGTTTTTCACACCTGAATTGATGAGACCCAGTTAGTGATATGATTTTAAATAAATATTGGAAACAGAACTCTTGTGCTTGGTATTTTTACAGATCTATGTCTTAAAAAGGTGCTGCAAATCTTTCTACCATGTCCACTGCGTAATTTTTACTTGAATCATTTGTATTTCCAGTGGCCAATGATAATGCTCCAGAGCATGCTTTGAGACCTGGTTTCTTATCTACTTTTGCCCTTGCAACAGACCAAGGGAGCAAACTTGGACTTTCAAAAAATAAAAGTATCATCTGTTACTATAATACCTACCAGGTAAGTTCATAACTATCGAATGGCTTGCTGATTTCAACTATTATTATGTTTTCTATATAAAATAGCTTGTGCTATCATTCTAAATTTGAGTTTTGAAAGGGATGGAATTTTAAGATCTTAGGCTTCAAATTTGACACCAGGAATTAATTACTGTGGAAAGTAATTAAAAAGATGTAATAATAAAGTAATGTTATCCTGGGAAGGGTAAGTCAGGTCACTCTTACCTCCAGTAGATGGTGCCCTTAGCTTAACAGTTGTGATATCTCAAATGACACTTGTGTTGTTGGTGACAGATAAAAATTTCTCTTGAAAGTCAAATGATAAGTTATTTAAATTGGTTATTTTAGCTAATTCCTTCATTTGGTTTGGGATATATGTAAAATATACAATTATATATAGGGTGTCCCAAGAAACGTATACATACACTTTGAAAAATTGTAAAGGCAGTGTTTATTAAAATACATTTTATTTTCAAAATTGAACTATCAGCTGTTAAAATATATATACATATTTTGTGGGAACACCCTGTATAAAAATAAGTGAGGTTATTAATTGTGGGAAAGAAATTAGTTGCTACATACTTCTTGATCTCCAGCTACATTTTTGTTAGAATAAATTAATCACTTGTCTATTTGAGTGATGCTTACCAAAGTATGACTTATGTACTACTGATGATACACAATTAACATCTTTTTATTTTAAAAGTTGTATATTCTGATGTATATTGGTAAAAAAAATAACCCATCTGGCCTTTAACTTGACTGATAAGGGTTAGATTGAAGCTAAGTTAAAGATAGTTGATTTAAAGTTAATTTAAATTTGTTTAAATTATAGTAGTACATAGGTGGCAGAAAAATCATAAAGATACAGCTACTTGAATGAGAAATACTTTCTTTAGCCATTTAATTATTAAATTTTTATTGAGCTCTTACTATGTAATTGATACTCTGCTGGTCTTTAGAGATTAAAAAAATGAAGACACAGTCCCACCTTAAAAACTTTCCAGGCTAAATGGTGGTGTCTCTAAGAGATACTCAGTGACTCCGTTTCATGGAAATATTTATTTTCATCGCTTTCATATTTCATGAGGTAATACCATGATACTGGACTGTTACCTTACACATTGACCATTTAAAGGTTTTTTGAAAGATTAGGATAGTTCATTGAATTATACTGCCTTTTCACAATACAACATAATATGTAGATCTTCTTTTCTTTTTAGGTGGTTCAGTTTAATCGTTTACCTTTGGTGGTGAGTTTCATAGCCAGCAGCAATGCCAATACAGGTGTGTTTTAATTACCTTAAATGCAGCTTTAAAATATATAAAGATATATATATATACACACATACACACACACACACACACACATATATATATACATAAATACACACACACATACATTGATTTCAGAGAGGAAGGGAGAGGGAGAGAAATATAGAAATATCAATGATGAGAGAATCATTGATCGGCTGCCTCCTGTTAAATGCAGCTTTTAATTCGTTATGATACCCTATCTGAATAGTCTAATATGATAGGATTAGTAGATTTAGGGTAAAAAGAAATCTGAATTTGGGGGCAAGGTCTTTGCTCTCCAAAAAAGTAAATTATCTCTTTTCCATATCTGTATAATGGAGCTAATATCTGCTTGTGTGGGTAAGTTATCCTTTAAGATAAAAAAGAAAATTAAATGTTATCTTGACCACTTGAATGCTATGTCTTGCTCACATTAAAAGAGCTTTAGAAAACAAAAAGTAGAGAACCAAAAAATAAAATGGTCACGGATGAGTTAAATTCCATATAGACCATTCTATTAGAATTTTTAAATCCTGGACGATAGTGAGCAAGATGACGGAGGATTGTGAATAGGTGAACATAATCACATTCTTCCTGAGGTTGAGGAATTGAGAACAAACACTAGAAAGCTGTATTTCCCATGGAAGATAGCAAGACCCCATTATATCCAGTAGCCTTCACTGGGCGTTTATGTGTAAAGTGACAGTATTTAGTTGAATTATATTTTTTTTACTCCCTTTGGATACAGTGGTGTTTTTTTTTAGGGTCTGTCTCCTTCAGATTTGACCACTATTTAGAATTTTTAGAGCAAGTTCTATTTCTATCTATGTCACTGAAGCCAGTCCTTAGATTCCTGGTATTTAAAAAGAGGGGTTTAGATTTGATGATCTATTAGTTCTCTTCCATTTCTAATGTATTGAAGCTGTAAAATATATATGTGAAAACACTTCGTAAATTATTCGGGGTGGGCAAAAGTAGGTTTATAGTTGTAATACAAATAAATAATACAAGAATTAATAAATAATACTAGAATGAACTCTTTATTTCATGTACTCACAACTGTAAACCTACTTTTGCTCACCCCTGTATAGGATAGTGGTATCTATTTTAAGTATATTAAACAGTAATTGTGATAAATCACCGTCACATACTAACTCATTGGTTGTTATAAATTATGATGTTGTACAGAATTATATTTTAGTACTTAGAACATTTTCTTGAGAATCCCAGATGCTTTTAATATTCTGTGAGAAAGAGGACGATCCATATTTATCTATAATAATAAAAGCGTAATATGCTAATTAGACCGGACGTCCTTCTGGACGACGCCAGGGCTGCGAGGGCTGAGGCAGTCGCCGCAGCCAGCAGGGTCAGAGGTAGAGGAGGTACCTTGGCTGCTGCAGCGGTGGGAACCAAGGCAGAGGCCCCTGGCCTCGGCGGCAGCGGGGGCCAAGGCCGCCAGCCACCACCGCAGTGGGGGCCGAGCCCCTTGCACGAATTTCGTGCATTGGGCCTCTAGTTTAAACATAAAATAAGCAGTGTCTACAATATGTAGCCTTTCACGCTGGTAAATTAAGGAGAAGCTAGACATGCTAATTTCTAGACTAGGTTGTCTTCCAGATTCATCATTGAACTTTCTTTTAACACTTGGAGTGCGGGTGAATTTCCCGCCAAAATATAAGATGGCTCTGTCTTTTGGTTTTGTTCCATCCACCAAAAGGGTGGATTACAAACAAATATTTGGTAATACGCAGTTACAATCGGCCCGAGTTTACACGTTTCCCGCACTCCACCGCAAATCTATATGAACCGAGTCAAAGACGGCTCCCGCGGAGTACGCGCAATTCACGCGAGCTGACTTAACTCGTTTCCCGCACTCCAAGTGTTAAACATGGAAGAAAGTTCATAATGAATATCAATTTTTTGGTTACTTTACTTAGAATATTTTGTTTTAGTTACGGGGAATAAACTATCTCATTTACTTTTTAGTAATAATTTCAGTCAAAGGGAATTTAAGTCAAAGACTTTTTTCATGAACATTTTTTCTAAGGTTCTAATTTTCTTAATCTCTTTGTTTTAGGACTAATTGTCAGCTTAGAAAAGGAACTTGCTCCATTATTTGAAGAATTGAGACAAGTTGTAGAAGTTTCTTAACCTGACAGTGGTTTTGATGTCTACCTTATCTTCATTATAATAGACAAGATATCAATCTAGCAATCTTGAGACCACAACATACTTGTATCCAGGTACCCAAAAAAGGGTCCCTTTTTTACCTTATACTAAAAATTTATGGACAGATTGTTATCTTTTCTTGTATAGATCTTATTTACTGAGATCTGAGGATACCACAGAAATGGTCCTCTCTATCACAGCTCCCGTGGAGTTAGTCCAGTCCCCAAATCTGCATGAGATTCTATTGGGTGGGTCGGAATCAAAATGGTCCTTTGATCCACTTGAGCCATGAAATGCTCCCCCTTGTACATTCTGCCAGGCCTGCAGATTGAAGCAGATCTATTTTATTGTGAATAATAATGAGGACATATTTTTTTCATGTTGTTTTATTTCTTTGCATTAAGTGTGGGGACATAAAATGGCTTAGTAAAAGTAATAAAATCAGTACAATCACTAACTTTCCTGTGTATATATTCTTTTGCAATATAGATGAACATTACTAATTGATTTGATTCTTCTCAGAGGGTGCTGCTGTATAATAAAAATGATAGCTAATGGTTTTCCACCCACTCTGCCTCCTATATAACCATTCAGTGTTTTAATGTTTGTGCATTGTTCGTAAAATTTAGATATGATTCATTATTGAGCTCTGTCCCCAATATTGGTACATATGTAAACATGATACTACAGCCATTTTTTTCAATACATGAATATAAATAAAATAGTATTTTTAAAAGTATAGTTTGAGCACTATAGTTTTTTCCCTCCCAGACTACTTTGAAAAGTTTAAAGATATAATTACTTATTTCACTCTTCTCAACCACACGAGTAAGTAGTGAGTGTTTCTTGTGGATATTGGTGTGGAGATAGTTTTATGTGGCATAAACTGTCAGTAGGAAAATAAATATTTATGAGCCTAATAACTATGAAATTGGTATCATATTTCTAGAATTTGCCCTGTATATTCAGGAATGCAGTCCGTCATTCACAGTGGTTAATTTCCTCCTGGGTTCTTTGACAGTCATTTTGTCCTGATACAGTTCAGTACACATGCATTGAGGACCTATTGCCATTCATAGAACTACCACATTGTAGAACTCTTAAGGAGCACAATTCACATCATATTTCCGTGCTCCAGGGTGCATTTTACATGGAATGTGTGCAAATGTGGTCCTTGCGTTGTGGAGTGAGGTAGTGGGCCAGGCACTGTGCCTGCTTCTTCCTCTCACTCCCTCTCCCTCCTTAAATCCTATACAAATATGAGACTAAATTGTGGTACCTACCTTTAAAGAACTTATTGTTCAGTAAATGAAATAGATATGTGAAATGCTGTGATAAAGGATGCTATAGAAACAAAATAGGGGCATTTATTTATTTAGCATTAGATTCTGCTTTATTTTAAGAGAGAATAAGGGCATTTGAATTGGGCAAGAACAAAAGCCTTTACAAAGAAGTGGAGGCAAGAGAGATGCTTTAACTGCAGGGAATTATACATGGTTAATTGTTACACGCTAATGAAGTATTAGACACACCAATTATAATCCAGAATTGCCATTATCTGGATTATTGGTGTCCAGGAAATTTTTGCCATTGCAATGATTCATAAAACAAGAAGGTCTTTTATAAATGAGGTGACACATTTTAATTGCAGTAATAAGTATGTATCTAAAAACCCTAGAAAAGGTAAGTAGAGATACTTAACCTCTGCATGGCAAATACTGCTACTATTACAATTTCTATTCGAAGGATAAGGTGAAAATCTCTTAAGAAGTTTTGAAAAGGTAGTATAAAACTAAATTAGGTACACAGCTAAACAGATCAATGAAACAGACTACCCCAGGAACAGGCCTTAGTACATACCGCATTTTGTGTATAAGATGCCCTCATATATAAGACGCCCCCCACTTTTCCAACCCAAAATTAAGAAATCAATATTTTAAACATAAAATAGAACACATTTTTATTTAGTAATTACTGCAGTAATGTTCACATACCAGTACTATGATATTATGCAGCATATCACTTTATTCAGCCTCTGTTGCATCACTGCTCTCTTCATCACTATTAGTTCCAGACATATCAATTTCTTCAACTTCTATTGTATCACTGCTGTCTTCTGAGTCACTGTCTATATATGTGAGATCATCCTCATAAACTGGTGGCATTTTCTGAGCTAACTTTGTGTTCTCATGGCCAATCCTTCTCTCCTCATGAAATTGAAGCACCATTTTGCCTTCCCTATAAAATCAACAATGTTCATTTCACTTGCAAACATTCTTGCCTGACATTGAATAAGCTTGGTTGACACGCATAAGCTACTCTGGCGCTGCTCCATAATCCAAGTCTTAAGCCTCTGCTCCAAGTTTGCCCGTTTTCTTGTTTTTCCTCTTAAGGCCTTCTTCTTTTTTGGCATCTTAAGGTATTGTTCTTCCTGTTTTCTCCACTGTCTGATCAGACACTCAGCGGGAGGAGGTCCAAATTGTCTCTTTGCAGCTCTATTTCCATGCTCTTTTGCATAGCTGATTACATTCAGTTTGAATTTTGCAGAGTAAGACAATTGCTTATCGGTATTTACCTTTTTATTTTTGACATCTTTATGGGTTCAGAACGCTCCAATCCCTGTTGCATCTGTGCACTCTCCACCTCCAATTATGGCATCAGCTGACGTCAGTAACAATAAGGCTCATGATTGGAGGAAGCCTGTTTGGTATGGGCAGCTACACACCCGCGTGGCTCTCGGCTGACTTCCGTGTATAAGGTGCCCCTTGTTTTTCAGTCTAATGATTTTAGAAAAAAATTGTGTCTTATATACAGAAAAA